GTCTGTCCGTCTGTCTGCCTGTCGGTGTCTGTCTCTGTGCAGAAAGAGGCGTAAGAAGGACTCCATCTAGGCTCGACATCTCAGCACAAGGCGAAACTCCCAGCAGCGCCCTGGATTCTTAAACGTCACATGCTGGACAGGGAGCACATACACGAATACACCGGGAAGCTCGTCACTCCAAAGGCAAAGGGGCCTGAACCATTGTGAAGTCTGAAACTTTACAGTCTCTTTTATCTTCGTGGCCGGGCCCCTCAACCAGTGAACCCGCCGTCGACTAAGCCCTATCACCACCGTGCCAGCTTTTCTTCCCATCAACACATTGTCTACATTATACAGGCTGGTACGGTACTTTGAAGACAGCTTTCCCTTCTTTGGGAGTCATGCCAAGGAGAGTGCTGCTGTCACTGCCGATTCCGGGTTTCAGGGCCCAGAGGGTTGAGGGTTGGGGTCAAAAGGACAAATGCACTTCTTTTCGATGGATCTCTGCAGAAGAGCTTACAGAGTGCGGGAGCAAAGACGGATCAATTAGTGCCGGCCTTCGTTCCGGAATTGAATGTGCTCGTCTTGAATCGCCGCTTCCTGCCTGTCATGTAATCCGATAGCATCAGCCCTTCTGCTCCCTCCAAAAAGTACAGCGGAACGAAATGTTCGAAGACGGGGAGCAAGAGGGGCAGAGGGTCAGCCTCAGCCGTAAACGCTACATGCTAGACCAGGACCTGCTAATAAGTCCGACACGCATGGAAAGAATCGCCCCCCCCCCCCCCCCCCCCGCATTGGCAGGTTCAGGTGCTGATAGCGAGCAGCACAGCGATGAGGAGGCGAAGCTGGACGCCAAAGCTGCTTTACTGAAACTTCGGGTATCACTCTTTGGCAGGGCGTTATCACATCACGTTTAGTCTGAGGTGTGTCAACGTCAGCCCTGAGCCCAGTTCTTGAAATCGAAACTCCTATACAGATCCTCAGCCATGAAAGGCAAACGAAACCCGACCCACAGCCTGTGTCGTCCAGTACCTCGACCTCGAAACAGAAGTACCTTGAGAATCTTTCAGTGTTCAACCAATGTGAGGTTGGGGAATACGCTGAATGGCTTTTACATCTGATGCATCTCGTCATGTTAGGTACGACCCTCCGGCACGGATATGACCTGTCTCAGTGGCTCCGTCGTCCTGCCGATCTTTGAAAGCAATCGTAAATGCGCGGAATTGAACTTTGAACCATCACACTGCTTCTTCGCCATATCTCTCAAGTAACAACTATTGCCTAGGAGCCAAGTTGCTTGTGCAAGTTCTTCACCAACAAGACCAGAAAGGGCATCTTAATGCCCAGCGTCTGTCTTGATTGTTCCGGACAGGTCACAGAAGTTGTGCTCACGTTGTTCCCGGCAATTTCCAAGGCGGCTGACCCGATGTCTTCGTCGGTGATTCGCCGGATATGCCCATTCCGTACTGATGCTGACCAAAGGTAGAGTGGTGTCCTGCCGATGGAGTAGAAAATGGAGAAGAGGCCAGATTGGAAGGAACTTCGGAAAAGAACGGTCGGGGCATCTGGCCCCTTCGGTGGCAGCTGGATGAACTTGGAGCTATCCATGAGCACGAAGCTGCCCTACTTCAACTCGGAAGATGCCTTTGGCATCTCATTGAGCCAATTCCTGTTGCAATACCCAAGGAAACGAAGACACACATCCGTTTCAATATCGTGGTAGTGGTGGCGTAAACATCAGCTGCAGAGGCCATATAACAGCACATGAATGCCCTTGACACTCAGCAAGAGTGGCATCACACGGAATAACCATGGCCATCGCTGTGTGCGCGCGTGTGTGTGTGTGTGTGTGTGTGTGTGTGTTCGTCTTGACAAATGCTACTGAAACAATGACATGACACTCAGAATACAGTCACAGGCCCAGGAGTACATGTAGTAGTAGTCGTCGTCGTCGTAGTAGTAGTAGTAGGGCGCTGATGGCGATTTTGGTCTTCCGAAGTGCATGGACAAGTCTTGTCAATATCGACGATGCACCGGTGGCGTGCACAGGACAAACCCAACCTTGAACGCCTCTTTGACTGGATCGAAGTTCCTGCGGAGAGCAACTTGATTGAATTGGTTTGCTTGCCTACGCGTCGAAGGTCTCCTGAGTACCGAAAGCCCACCTACGAGACGCATAATTCTGACAATCACAGAACTGCTTTCTTGCACTGGTGAACTGGTGTTTCTCGCAGATGTGAGATCTATCACTCGCGATGTAGTTCCTGCTGGCTTCGGAGTTTGTGTCCGTTACCAAATGGTCGCCTTGGGTGTAGAGTTCTGGGTCAATTACATGACTTTCGGTAAGTCAGCCGTGAAGTCCTAAGTGTCTCCATTGCATGAACCGCTGTGTCGGAGGTCCGCTACGGAAGGCAGGGTGTTCGGGATGAATTGGGACGCGTTGATTCACATCATAGCTTCATAGCTGTCTAGGTATGTAGTTCCATGTCACCAGCGAAGGACTTAAGGTATTCCTAAAATATGGCTTTAGCAGGAAGCGTCCCAAGCTAGGCACAACAATTCCTTCAGGGCCAAAATATTTCTCTCTTCTCAAAAGCAGTCGATCGAGGGCATTCTCACGAGAATTTTCCTCGACCTGTTGGCTTAACTGTAGCTGCTTGGAATGCCGCCAAGCTGCGTCAGCTGGTTGTCCTTGAGGAGAGCATACAGCTCCTTGGCATTCTCGGCGACTCAACTTCGATCTCAATTCACCCAACCCTGGCTTCGGGTGGGGTTCACCCCTCATGCCCAAAACCTGAAACTCTCGACCCCAAGCCCGAAATTCTACCATACGAGTCCGGGCGCGTCGAAGGTGATCTCTGGCTGGTTGTTCCTCGGTTAAGCGACCAGCTCTAAAACGAAAGTGGGTGTTCCAAAGCCCATGGAGGAACTAGAAGCTGGAGCGGACACTAGAAACTGCAGGTTTTGCCATCAAATGCCCCGTGAGTCTTGGACATGGCACGGAGAAAACTGTGTCCACGTGTGCAAGAATGAATGCACCACCGCGCCATGCCTACAACCCCACTCTCCACCGCACGAGTCAACAACAAACAAGAAGGCGACACAAATCACAAGAAAACGCCAGCGACGGCAGAAGACGAACAGCCACGATGAGAAGAAGGCGAGTGGTCGTACAGAGCAGCAGCCGGAGAAAGGATCTGAGCATCAATTCCTCCGTAAGGTAAGGTAAACGATATACACAAGAGGCACCAAGACTTGAAGGATCCCTCTGACCTTGGGAGCCCTGTGATTAACGACTGGAGGCCCTTCATGCAACCCTGTGCCGTAGCATGCTGGCACTTGCCCGAATCGTGCGGAAGCTCACAAACATCAACCGCACGTCGAACATAAGCATACTTGCGAGGGACAAACCGTGCAGCTTGAGGGAATTCAGGTCAAAGGATTTCGGGTCATATCCCCCTCTAACCTAATCTGGGCTCCTGAAACCTGTCCCTTTCTGCTTTACGCTTAAGACCAGCCGAAAGCCCGAAAAAGCTCCCACTCCGAATCCCGAGAGGTCAAAGGCTCAGCAGAAACTTCACCTCCCTGGTTGTGATGTCCTGCCGACATGCAGGACATGCAGTAGGGTCCGGGTTTGGGACTTTGCAAGGCGTCGGAACTCAGTCACAAGGCAGGTCGCAAGAAAGATGCAATCTTTCGGGGATGCGATGGGCTAAGGCTAAGGCTCATGCAATGTAAGATAATGTATCGCTCACGTTGCCTCCGTTGCATTGAAGCAGCGCTTGTCCAGCGAATGACAAGCAAGTTTACTCTCGTCCAACTGATGGCCTCGTTGCCAGTTGCTCCATGCTCCAATGACATCTTTAGGGGCCTACTTCGTAGTACATTTTAATACCAAGCAGAAGCCTTGCTTCCATCTTATCCAGAGTATGCACACAGGCAGCCCTCACGCCGAGAGTAGGCAACAACTGTGGGGTCAATCGTCTGGGGTCGATGATTTTCGTCTATCTGCGTGCCCGAGTCTTCGGTTCACAACGAGGACAGTCAAGACTAGATAGAAGCGGAGCAATGCGTTGCTAAGCATGTGTGGTTGCAAGCGCTCAAACTTTTACGTGAATGAAGACCACGTGGGGCCTTACCGGGCTCTTGCGGTAGTAGATGGCAAGTCTTGCGTACCGGCACAAGGCTGATTGCAGGCATGGTGACGATTCAGATAAGAATGCTTCCAGCTCGGGAAAAGCTCTTCCACGCCTTGTAGAACGTCTGCAGGCGACGCTTGATTTCTGACATGGTGAGCTTGCCCTTGCCTCGGAAGCATACACAAGGTCTCAGTACATGAGTTACCGTCTGCGAAATTCTCCTTTCCATTCTCCTAGAGTACGTAGGCGTCTGGTTGCGATTCTGATATATGCCATCGAAGTCGCGATCTGCACTGTCATGTCGTTTTGCACAAGGTTGAGACGCAGCAACCGCCGAGAGACTGCACGCGTGCAAGCAGACCCGCGGCACACAGGCAGAACAGCACGTAGAATGATTTGCAAGCACAGCGACAAATAGACATACATGCAGCAAGCCTCGCATCGATTCTATCGGATATTCAGTTGGGATCAGTTGGACACAAACGGATCCAAAAGGTGCACCATAGTCATACGGTATCCAAGCGGAAGGCATGAAGACAGCCGAGTCTTGAGCACATGGGATCTTGCAACTTTTCGCAAGTTTGCTGATTGCAGCTATGCCGCCACTAGTATCGAAGAACTCCCACGCCACCTGCTCGAATGCCAGCCCGCATGCTACACCGCACCGATGCTCTGTATAGGTACATGTGCCAGAAAAACAACTGGTCGGTGACCTTCCTTTGTCTAGCATTCTGAAATATTCTGAATGACGAACACTGGCACTTGATGTAAACCCTTGCACCGTCGGCACGTCTTCTGGAGCGTCGAAAAGCATGTAAAACATCAGGCAAAGCATTATATGAGGTGAATCATGGTATGCTGCAAAGTTGTCAAGGCACCAGCTCTGTGCCAAATTTCGGTACTTTCACTCGGCCTTCAACTCATCCTCAGTAATCAGTATGCCGCCCTTCCTGGCAAGCGATGACAAGATCATTGAGACCCCTCTATGACTCAAGCTAGAAGCTAGGACATTGCTCCTCCAAGAGCTAGTACGGGGACTGCAAAGGGGATTACTGCTACTAACTACTCACACCCCGCTGTTAATCAGAAGGGCCTTTGTTAGTAGGGCAGCCAGAATTCAGTGTGGTTGATACTGCTAAACTGCCCCATTCTCCTTTCTTTGTGCCAGCCCGGGGCAGTGCCCTGAATGTTCAGTACTTTTGGTTCTGCTTAGTCTTAGTGTGGGAAGCTAGTGATTTCTACATGGAGGTGAATCTTCGAACGAATGAACAAATCAAACGGACAGCTCTTGGCATAAAACTTATTTTTGATCTTCGATACCATCAGAAGTTCATGCTTAAACGCGGTGGTCCGTGTGTAAACAGATCAGATGCAATTCTAGCCAGGCCCACTCGTTGCGTGGAAGCGGAACAGGAGTGTCCTGTCACATGCAGACGCTATGAAGACTGTTGTCAAGCCCGCTGTGCACTGTTCACACGTCCCTGCCGCTTACCCTCGAGGAGTACGTTCTGCGCGGAGTGCTGAGAGGCTCGGTTTGCCATTGTCGAAGTCACAGGCCCCCGCAGAAAGACAAGCAGACCTTGTAACGAAATTGAACCCTCAGCCTCAGATGATTAGAGCAGGGTCTCACTTCTCCTAGACCTAGACTTGAATTTACTCGCACAGCCACCAAGCCCTTCCGACAAACAAGCTTCCTGCAATTTTGCGAAGCGGTAATCGTGGTTTTTTGGTTGGTAGGTGGTCGTCGGGATCGTCGTCCTACCAGAAGCAGCAGAGGCACCAGCACCACGAGCTGCAGCACGAGTCGCAGTGGCGGGCGGTGGCGGCAATGTCGGTGATGGTGGTCGTGGAAGTGTTCGGGAGGGCAGCGGTTGCAAGTAGAGCAAAAACATGTCCCCACCTGGTTGCTCTTGAGCCACAGTGTTCTGCATCGCTGTGCAGTCAGGGGAGGCCAGTTTATGAACACTTCACCGCCTGCTCTCAGACAACCAGTGCCCAATGCAAGGCATTCGGGCGGCCTAGTTCTGACAAGACTTCCCAAGCACTGAACTCACTAAATTCACTACAGGCAGAAGCGGGGCATAGCTATATGCGATCTTGAACTTTGCGGCGTAACTTACAAAGAAGTGCACCAACGAAAGTAAGAAAGACCTGTTACACTCCGTAGCTTGGCCCGAATCCAATTCACCAGCTTCTGCCTGTCCTTCGTCTCAGCAGCCCTTTTGGATCTCTCCCTGGGTGTTCGTCTTCACGGATCAGGGTTGCTTGGATTTCATTATGGGTGGACGGGTAACGGCTTTTCATCACATGCCAGTTGGGCTAGATCCATTTAGCCAGGGTATCGCCCATCTGACCGTAGAGACTGCATTGGAAGCGCGGCTGTGGCTTGCAGTTGCCGGCTCTACATCTTAAACGTCATAATCTATATAGGGATCGGGGGTAACTAGGACAAGTTCTTGGAATAAATCCACTCATGCTTCGGCTTCCAGATTTCTCAGATTGTTAGTGGTTGCGGCCACGGGGAAGTCACGCGGAAACTTTAGTTGATCCTTTCTTGAGTGGAGTGGGGGGGTTGGGCATCAGGACTTAAAGGCAATCGGACGATTTTCGCGAGTTGTGCGAATTTCATGAAAGGCACTTTTTGGTGATTCTCACAATTGGTTTTGTCGGACCCCCTACAAACCCAAACCCTTGTCCGTCTGTTGTTGACCACCACGCCACCACCACCGCCTCCGAAATTAGGATTTGGGGTTGGCAACGTGAAGGTCGTCCGCGCAGCAGCTAACTCTATGACTATATGGGGACTAGCGCGGAAGACTAGAACGAATTGCAGCATTTCCTGGTACTGCTTAGCTAAGCTGAGTCAGGCATCAAGTTCACTCGTACCGGTTTCATTTGCAGAGTTTCATTGCAAGTTTCACCATCTCAGAAGACCATCAGCAAAACCAAAACGTGGGCAGCCACCTTCCAGGATACGCAGCCTGAAGAAGCAACCTCGCAACAAACTTTGAGTGAGTCGCGCCATACTCCTCCCACACGCGCACAGGAAAGCTTGAGCACGTGCTGCGGCTGCAGGCAATGATAACAGCAGGCGATTGCAGATAGTGCGCATCTTGAGCGTGCAAGTTTGAGGGCATGCCTCGACGGTCGCAGTTGGGTACATTACGAGCTCGTGATCTGGGAGTGTAAGCTGCAGTTCTATGTCTCTGTTGGTGGTGCCGGAGGCAACCCAGATGCTGCCGCTTCCGGTTCTACATCTGTCAAGCATCGCTAAACGCGAAAACCGTAAAACCCTAAAGTCCGAAATCAGGTCTTAAACCTCGCGAATCCGCAAACCCTGAACCCTGTGTAGAACGCTTAGATTCCGAGGAGTGATCGTCTTTTTCGATGCTCGACAGTCCAATGCGCTGGAAGGCCGCCCTGGTAGCAAGAAACAGCCTCGGGAAAGGTTTCGGGGATCTGTAAGTTATCAGGGTGGGGTCTACACACAAACGTCTTTAGGGCTGTATAGGGGTGTAGGGATTCGGGGTTTTCAGGCATGAGGGCTCTTCAACAACGATGCGACGCAGCAACAACTCTCTAACCGTCTCGCGAGATTTGACGAGAGGCCTCCAGAATGAAAGCGGATGCCTCGCGATGTCAAGGCCTTCCTCCGCGAGCCTACTACTATTCCAGTCAAACGAAAATATCTGAATCCATGATGCAGCAAAGTGCTTCATCAGGCAAGGAACTGATTGTGCAGTCTAGGGCTTGTGGCGACGAGGCAGCTCAGCTCGGGACGGAGACAAAGGCAAATGCAATCCCAACCAGCCCTCGATCCTTCCGCCGGGGTGCTCTGATAAGAGCGCAGGCGCCCAGCTGCCTTCCGGGTATTGCATGCTGGGAATGTGGGTAGGGCCGTCGTTGTTGCAAGCACAGGTCGAGCACGCATGCAAGGGGTGGAGGGCTGTAGTTACACATTGACAACCGCTCGCACAGCCAGCTACGATCTTTCTTGACAGCGTGTGGAATTAAAATCGCAGGGAAGGACTTGTCGAAATAGACTCTGCGATGCACGCGAAGTCGGCATTCAGCAAACACACGCAACATTTGAGGATGGGGAGTGACAGCAAGTGTACGTGCATGTTGATAGAGCCGAGACGGCCGACCTCAGCATCAGCAAGCGGATACCCGAATCGAGAATATTGACTCAACCTGTTGCCGAGCATGCCCGCTTTCAGCGGGTTGAAATCTCCGCGACTTTGAAACTATTGGTTGGCGGCACGCCACAATGTACGCCGCAGAAGGACTTCAGATGCTCACAGAATTTTTTCATGCACGAGTTGCTTTCATGCTCTGGCTCAGTCTTTGTACAAGGCTTGCCATCGCGGATCACCGAGGCTTCCTTCTCAAGCTTACGGAGCTGGAGCTCTGCATGGTGCAGCATCAACCAGAAGTCGGAGCAATCTTCCATCATCTGGCAGATGCCTTCAAGGTGAGCGAGGGTGAGTTGCAAGCTCTTCTGTGACTTTCGCTGGGCTTCGTTGAACTCGGGGCTGGCTGGTGGGCACTCCAAGATGCCATGCTCATCCTCATCCGGTTCTGGCAAAGAGCTTATCACCGCCTGATCCATCGTGACCTGCGTGCAGTGCCCCACGTACTGTACCTGCTTGAGCAGCTCGATGTAATCGTTGCGGATCGCCTGTGTCTCTTTGCGCAACACAGCCATGCTGCTATGAATCTCGGAAATCGAATCATCTAGCTCGTTCTCCTTGCCACCACAGCGGGAAGCCCACAGCAGAGAAGGTAGCTTCTCGAAGGTGCTGCATGCTGTACTCGAAAGCTTCCACAACACCGTCTGTGCTGAACCGACGAGATCTACAAGACGACTGTGTGTGACTACAACAGCTGTTGACAAGTCCTCGTCAGTCTGCAAGAGGTGGCTCATGACAATCCGAAGGTGACCTGCAAAAGAATCGGCGAAGACTTTCAAATCCTTCATGCTGTCCCTGGGTTGATAAGTCTTCAACGTTCCGAAGCTAGCGGCACTGGAAGAAACCACCGAGTCATTCGCCCGTTGACGAGAGGGCTCGCCAACGCTGCTCACAACGGCCGACCGGCCATCGACCTTGGAGCCACAATCTTGAGTGTCTGCGGGGTATCCCCGGCAGGCACTCATGGTCTCACATGGAGCATTTGGGCCATGAAAGCTGCGCTGGCGGCCAGCGATTGCAAGCTTCTTGCCCAGCGCTACTACAAGAAACCCGAGTTGCACTAGCGGACAAAGCGGACGACAGGCAGTATTGGCACTTAGCATGCGTGGCTGCATTCTTCCCCCTCGGCAAGCGCCCAAGCGCAAACAGCACCTTCAGCTTTCAGCCTCCCTCTCGGACACTGGCTGGCCTTCACTCGCCGAGGCAAGTATGCTCTGGTAGGAGTAGCTAAACCTCGGCCATGAACAGCATACCAACTGGAAGCGACTTGCGGCTCCTCGCACTGCAGAATTAAGACCAGACAGGTGACCGGACCAACTGCCCTTGGGGGCTCCGTTATCCGGGATGGCAACCAACTGCAGTCCTATTCATTCCTATTCTATGAAACCCTGAAGACCCAATGGCCCCAAATCACGTGACCTTGACCGGCTTAAGCGAATCCGCTCAAACAGGGCGCCTGCGTACGCAGGCTCTGTAAGACTGCAAGACAGGCAGACCGAGATGATGTGCATGAGAGTTGCGGTCGAAGATCTCGTGAACCCATGCTTCCTGGCCAGAACTTGTAGTTTAGGCTAAAGGGAGACAAGAAAGCTTGAAGACTTCACACAGACACAGTGCCAAACAGTATGTTCCTCTTGCAAAATGTTTCCAAGTAGCCCAAAAGAGACAAGCCCCACTGCCACTTCTCGGCGAGTGCCATGGCGGTGACCAAGGTTCCATAGCCTTCATGCAATTGGAAGCTCGGGTCCTCCTTCGGACTTTTCGAGCATCGGGGGTGGGATCTCGTCTGGTTTGGGCCTTTGGGTACTTGGAAGATTGGGCTTTTTTGGACAGTTCTATGGTTTGTCACAGGCTTCCTGCACGGACCATACAACTCTTGACCGGGGTCTCCACTATGCGGTTCCAGGACCTTGTCGGAACGAGCGTAAGCCAGTTAGATGGTTCTTCCCAAGGGTTTGGCATCAAAGCTCCCCGAAGCGGCCGAGTTGATCCCCGACACCCCACTGCAGTGGTGCGATGATGGGGACAGGCTGACAATATCTGGCATCCTCCGCTCGAAAGGCCTTTTGCAACTGGCCTGCAACGACTCCACCAGGTTCAGGTTCAGGCAGGGGAAGCGTTTTCAATACGCTCGAAAGGCCTAAATCCGAAAGCTCCTTCGGCGAGCCTTCATGTCTTTGCGCTATTATGACCCTCCACACTGGTATATGTCAAAAGATTGACCGAGCCATCTTCATCTTCGCTATCAGCAACTACCGTCTACATCGTCAGCACCAGATCACCTTCATCTGTCTCTTCTTGCCGGCGGTCATAAGTCTCGTCCTCGTCAAGACGTCGTCAGCGTTGTACAATCATCAACCTTCTCTCATCCACATTATCTCATCCTCAACCTCGTCGTCGTCCTTCTGTTCCACTCCTGCTGCTCTCACCATCATTTCCATCACCACCATCATCTGGCCTCGGCATGGCTACCCTCACACACTACTATCATCAGTAGCATCGTTATTAGATTCCTATCATGACCATGTTGATGACGGTGTCGATGATGCTCAGGCTGTTGATGTCAGTTTTCCGCGAGGCATGGGAGCAAAAGCCCTCCGAAGGCGGCAGCATCTCAACACCACTGACGCACGATTCCGCCACCTTAATCAAGCGCCTGCGTCGTCCGGGGCTTCGGGAGCCAGCAGAAGCGCCGTGCTCCAGCGCCTCGCACTTTCGCAAAAGGCGTCTGTGATTGACGGGGTTCGGTGAATCACACACGGAAACCGATTGAAAGCCCGAGTCTGGAGGCTTGTCCAACGTCGAGTTGCGAGGTCTTCTCGCAAGCTGAGAGCAGCGCATTGGCGGCCGTAGTATCCTGGCTGCTAAAATACGACTTCCCAGCTTGGGACTGAGAGGTTCAGTCACTGTGTAGTTGCTCTCGACACAGGTCACTTCGGATATCGGATCAAGAGGCAGCTTTCTGCACCCGCTCTCATTACCTTCCACAGTCTTTCGGGACTATGAAACCCGGGTACGTGTGCTCGCACTATTTCTGACCATTTTGCTTCCAGGTCAGCCTGACCCGACCATCATGCCAGCAGCATTTTCCAATCATCATATTGGTCACGACCTCGACGTCACATGCCATTAGTATTAGTATCATCACCTGCTGCACCATGATAGCAGCATTAGCAGCCAACGCCATCCTGACCCATTTCTTCATACTGGTCTCTGGCCATTTCCTTCCTCTCCTCCTCCTCTTTGTTCTCCTCCTCTTCATCCTCATCCAGCTCCTCCTTCTTCTGCTGCTCCTTCGCCAAATCGTCATCATCCTCGTCATTATCCCCAAACACTATACATTTGAAGCCCTAAAGACCTTGCCTGTTGAGATTCACCCGCCAAGCAAAGACCACGCTGCCATTCTCCGGCGCTCTCCTAGGAAAGGAAAGGCTGCAGGTGTAAATCTCAGGCCACACGGCTAAACTCCGCCTTTGACACAAGAGCAATGACCTTCAAGACCCTTTTTGCTTTTTCTTGGGTGAATGACTGTGAACGGTCTGTGGCACGGGAAAAATCCTGGGGAGTGTCTCACGCTGCCATGGATGGATTCGGACCACGTCCCTCCAGATTCGGGTTTCACAGGTTGCTTATAACTTGTAAACAAGTAGCACCTCATCTGCAGACTGGCTGCGTAATATATAAGGCATCACAAGGCCTTACATTCCACCACCCTACCTCAGCAGAAAGCCCGATTCTTGTCAGTCCCTGACCCTGACGCAACCCCGGAAACCGCAGGTCAATCCAAAGCTGCAATTCTGATCTGGGTCGCCCTGAAGCCTTGCATCGCCAGCATCCTGTATGCAAACACCACTGGAAACATAGATTCCAAACCCGACCTTGACCCTCTTTGCATCCCGCCTTGGGGGGAAGGACTGGACGGCTGCCAAACACAGGGTTTTAGCGATTAGGTAGGGTGTTGACCCCAAGCCGTCAACCAAAATTAACGTGAAGAGTCATAAGCGCTTAGCAGTGCATTGCGGCTCACAGTGGTCGGTTCAATGCTGTGGTCGGACGCCTGAAGGAGGAGACCTTGGATGAATGCAGTCTTGATCAAGGGGCATGCTGTACCCAACCTTCTTCTGCTGGTACCACTTCATTATCAAATTTAGCCCCTTTGATTATGACATTCATTGCTGATTCTCCATCTGTCTCAGCACCATGACCTTTATGCTCGGTTGTCGAGGTGAGGTCTCTGCACGTCACTGTATGACATGCGCAGGCTCCAATAGCCATGACTGGTATAAAAACTGCACGACCATTCTGGTGTCAGTTGGTGTTGATCCAGCCACAAGCCACATGAGTGACTGTCAAGGCTGAGTGTTCTCAAGTTGCAGGGAGAGGTGGAAGCCTCGCCGTTGAATCTAGCTCGAACACACACACACACACACACACACACACACGGGTGGTTCTCTAAATGAGGGTCCCTTTTGGGGTCCTGTTTATAAGGGTGCCGTAATATATGGTAAATCTAAAAAGGGACCTTAATTTAGAGAACTACCCACATGTCGACAGGCAGCCCCGGGTCCATAACCTGAAATTTATAGCTTCTCGTTGAGTGGCTGAATGCTTGCGGCCACCGTCGCGTGGTGCGGCAAGAGCTGACCACCGAGTTCCTCAAGATGGACACTCTACTCGAGCTCCCTTCATTCACGCGTAGGCTGCAGCTTCTCAACGGTTTTCCCGGCAATGGTGTTGGTGCCAGCCAGTGTGCATGCGAGTGCAGGTGCATGTCTCAGTCTGAGTGTGTTGCTCAGAGTGAGAGATTGGGTGGGGTCGCGGGTGGCCTGCACCCACCTTCGCAACTACATCTGAAACGAAGTCAAGGTTCACTGAGATCACATCCGATGCCAAGCCTGCAGCCGCGACTGCCTCAGCAACCACCGGCTAAATGGATACTCTGTGCACTGGACTGCTATCTTCCACTATGATGTCACATGATGTCCCAAGTGCACATAAGTGCCATCATGCAAGTCTAGGACCTACGGTGGTGGGCGGCTCTGCAAGTTGCAGTGCGCAGGGCTTCCGAAAGCCGGGTCAAAGGTGCACGGATCTGTCGTGGCAAAGGCACTCTGGTACCTGCTCTTCCGAACTTCATGCAGTGTGCAAGGTTCCGAAATGCTGCAATGTGAACCAAGTGTGCCCTGCGGTCTCTGAACAAGCAGGGCTTGGCCATGTTGCAGCCAACAGCCAGCTGGCAAGCCTCCAGCGCCCCCCCTGAAGAAATGTGCACTCCACACATGCCAAGGTCCCTTGCTTGCTGTAGCCCGTCACTGCCATCCTTCTTTACTTGCTTTTGCTGCTGCGATTTCCAGCCTTTCTGCATCGGCTATAATACGACGAAGGGACGACTTGCCTAGACTACAAGTGATCATGGCACACTTTCTGGAAACCACCCTCATCACGACATTCATGGCAATGATTGCGAAAGCACCACTAATTCCGATGCAGCGCACTGCAGTTTCCATCAAGACAACCATCGCTGGAAGCGCAGCTCACACGACTTCTACACGCCCCCATTCGCCAGGTACAGCGTGGGTGCTTTTCTTAAGCACGGTCATGTTTCAGTATTATGATTTACGATGATGACGATGATGATGATGATGATGACGATGCTGCTACTGATTGTGTTGGTGATGAAGATTGCTTGTGCTGTTGTACTGTTCTGCTTGGTTTCAATCAATTACGCAGACTTGTTGCTGCTGTTTTACTACTGTTGCTCCCTTCTTGTACATGCAACAGGTTAGTAACAACAACGTGCTTGTGAACAGAACCATTGCCGCTTCTGCACCAGAGCTACAATGGTAGCATCACGATCAACGCTCTAGTTGGTCCATCACAAGAAGTTGTACTGTACTACCGCACCTTCTCCGCGGCACTGAGTGCAGCATTGAGTGCCGTGGTGTTGCAGCGGATGGATGTCCGCCTCTCGCAAAGTGTCGTCTTGCATCACTGGGCATGACTTACACGGCAGTACATAGACTTAGAACCCACGCGCAGGCGAAGACACACACACACACACACGCACAGCCACACACAGATTCCATGCTGCAAAGTGGCTAATGCAATCAGCGTGCAGCGGCAACAAGTACACAATGTCATTGAGAGAGCTAGATTTTTAGGCTTTGAGGCTTGGCAGCCTGCCATCAGATCTCTGAAGGCAGCAAGTGTCTGGGAACCAGACCCTTTGAGGTGCCAAGCTCAAACCCGAAACCCTGAACCCCACTCCTTTCACAATCCTACATTTTCGGGGCATTGTGCGGTGGATGAAATATACTGACGTAAGGTGATGCTACAGACGATACATGGCTAGTGTCGCTAGTTAAAATACCTACAGTAGCAGAAGAAACGACCACTTCTGCCGACCGAAAAGCAGACCCTGACTTCGCAAACCCTCCGCCTAGCGGCCGCAAACCTGGTCAGTGCCGCTTCCCAGAGCCCTTCTCCCGCAAAACCATCGAGCAGGGCACCAAGGAGCACAACCTTCTCTGCAGGATTCAGACCCGCAGACGTTTGCCGTGGATCTTGTTGCGCGTGTCTATGTAGTTGCCACTCCTACTTCTGTTTCTCTTAGTTCGCAGTGTATTGGGGGTTGAAGTTCTCGAGGTTAGACTTAGAGTCTCGCCACTTGGCGCTCAAGGGTTTTCCAGCAGAGCTGGTGTGCCTCTGGTCTTACGTTCTATACACGTTCCGAGAGTCCACGAGTACCCGGATCTCCGAAAAAAAGAAGCCCTGCTAAAACTTCAAAGCCCTCCAGCCCCAAAGCCGTATAGCCCAGGCTCTATGGTGAAGTCTACAGCCTCATACCAAACCTAAAGTTCAGACGGAGGCTCCTACTGAGCAAGTCCTATAAAACCTAAAACCGAGACACAAAAAGAGTCCGGGTCATCAGAGATAGAGAGAGAGAGAGAGAGGGACGAGCATGATCTTCTGCAACAGCTGTAGACGAACATGTGTAGCAAGTGCCGAGGCAAGTCCTAATGACAGCTATATGCGTTGCCAGGAGACGCCACCAAGCCGTGGTTCATCTCACGAGCCCGAGGCTCATTCTTGTTGCTATTAGTACTACTATCATAATGTCATAACATTACAATTCCTACAGTAATATTACACAATATCTATGTTTTATATGTTATTCAGGGTTCGAGTGCTTTTGGGTGGAGTCCTTGTATTGAGAGCTGTCTCAAGGCTCTCATGTTCAACGTGACCAACCTGAAAGTGCTGGCGGCCTTCGTTTGCAAGTTTCGAGCCCAAACTCTATGTGCATAAACCCTTAGAATCTTCTACAAAAAATGTAGGATCCGCAGCTAGCCTACACCCCGGACATTCTGTTTCGAAGCATATGGGCTGGACCCCGCGATGCGGCCCCCCCCAATCTGCAGCCTTGTGCTTAGTGTCGGGGCTTGGAGTTGGCTCAGGCACAATTTTTTGTGGTCTGGATAGTAGCGTCTGTGGGGAGGCCATGTGTTCTAAGAAATCACAACCAGATCAAATCATGATTGTTTTGCAGAATAGCACACATGTGCGAGGGTCGCGCGAACGACCACTGCGTTGCACTTCACATGCAGTGGTTCGTACGAAGCCCCGCTCAAAAATCTTTTGGCCTTCATGCGTCTATGCCGAGCTGCATTCTCGCCCACGGTCTGCCTCCTGGGATTTGGGATTCAGGCTGGGATTATGTTCAGCGCTTGCCCTCGAGGGCGATTGTTCCACAGTTGCCTGGGGGTTTTTGTGACGCACGCCAGTGCTTAGGCCAGGTCGAACTGGAGATTGAAGTTGGTTTCGGGTTTAATTAAGCTTAAAGTATTTGAATAGAGAAATAATTTCCCAGTCCAGCTTTATTGTCGAATTTTTGCGTAGCCTGTTTGCAGTCCAGGCACGCCTTGTCGCCAAGCGCAATCCTGGGCCGGTGGCACCAACGTAGGCATGCAAACAGCACATTTCCCACTTTCTAGCAATCAGACGCACGCAGACAGATAGAGACAGAGACAAAGACAAACACCGACACACACACACACCCTAAACATCCCTAAACCCGAAACATATACCCAAACATGTGACTGTGCTTGTCAACGTTGAGCTGCGCGCCGCGCCACCGAAGTCCACCGAGGACCGTGCCGAAGGCGACGATATCCAGTTCTGGTCGTCAGAGTGTCTCCCGCCATACCCTCTGCCTCTCTGCCATCTTTAGCTCGCTAGCACTTTCGGCCTTCCCCTCTTGCGATTACCACGGGCAGGGACATGGTCTTTACTACTCCATTCCTCTCTTTTCCTCTGTGTGCCGTACGTCCTCTCCCTCTCTCTCCCTCTCTCTCTCTCCCTCTCTCTCTCTCTCTCCATCTCTCTCCATCTCTCTCTCTCTCTCTCTGTCTCTCAAGCGGCAGAACATCGAGCATTGCTTCTCCTTGAGACTGCCTACTGCTGCTGCGGGACTACTTGTCTTCTTGAAGCTGCAAGCCTGAAAACAAGCACGGCGAAGACCCAGGAACACCGGACCAATAGCTCGCCTTCGCTCTTCTCCCATCTGCATGTACAACGTCCCAAGCTGAAGACCAAGAGGTTCTTCCCGAATTTCGCTCAATACATGAATTTGCACTCCGCGTGCTGCGTACATGTACAACACACATGCAATTGCAAACATCAAGTGAAGGCTGCCTTTTCAGAATAAGTTCTTGTTGCACATTCTCCAATGAACGAGAATACTTCAGGGTCAGAGGCTCCCAGTTGGCGGATTCTGTTCGACCGCAGCGCCTGCGAGCAAAAGAAGGGGGGAGAGCAAGTCATGAGTCCGACAAGTCGAGGTGCAGGGTGCTGCTCAGACTACACAGAACTTTTCATTCCGATATCCCAAGCCACGCATGAACCCAACCAGCCGGCAATAGTGAGAGCACTAACCGTTAAAATTCAACAGCTGAGCTAACCCAGCTGTACATATTTTGAACCAACAACTGCGACAGCAACAGTAGTACTACGGAGTGGGTCTCAAGCCTCCCCTGCCAGCGACCAGTCTCCAGCTGTGGCCGCAGCTACACGGGCATTGCCTGTCTGCCAGTGAGCATTATTGACGTAGACTGCTGGTGTTGCTGTTCTAGCAGTCAGTCATGGCTGTGGCTACCAGAACTATCATTCCATATCGTTCCTATTCCTGTCAATAGCAGATTTATGATCGCTGGGCCGCTCGTGATTCGTGTTTCAACAAGCACTTCCATGAGTAGGCATAATGAATTTCTGCTGTAGTGGTTTTCATACCATCCCCCGGAGTCTTCATCAGCCTGTCTTGTGTCTCGATTGTCGGAGGCGCTAGCAGGATGTTGGGTCTCTGTGACAAGCAGCAGCAGCATCGGCATCACCAACACCACAACGAAAAAACACCAGCACCAGAACCAGCAACCACAACGACGACGAATACGACAACCTCAACACAACACCAACACCGGCACCAATACCAACGCCAACACCACCACCAACAACGACAATAACAATAACAACGAGAACAAAACAACAACAGCATAGCAACACCAGCACCAGCACCAGCACAAACACCACCGCCACCACCACCACCACCACCACCACCACCACCATCACCACCACCACCACCACCAATAGCAGCAGCAACAATAACAACAACAAGGTTCAACCGTACACTGGGTCCCCGTTGCCTTTTTGGTTGCTACCCTTGCCCCCCCCCCCCTGCTTCGACCTTAGACTGGGTCCCCTTTCAGGCATGTCTACGGCCCTTTGCTTGCGGGTTGCATTTTTTCATAGTCGAGTCATTTGCCATTTGCCACAACCGGACTGCTTTGGCAGCAGCAACAGCAGCAGCAGCAGCAGCAGCAGCAGCAGCAGCACCAGCAACCGCAACAACAACAACAACAGCAGCAACAACAACAGTAACAGCAACAACAACAACAACAACAACAACAGCAACAATACCATCAACAACAACAACAACAACAACCACAACCAACAACCAACAACCAACAACCACAACCAAAACCACAACCACAACCACAACCACAACAACAACAACAACAACAACAACAACAACAACAACAACACCACCAACACCACCAACACCACCAACACCACCACCACCAACAACAACAACAACAACAACA